AAATAAATTTTTATTTTATACTGGCTTGCTTACAGCTTGCATACATTTTTTTTCATACTATCTTCATTCACATTGTGTTTCATACAATCACTCCCATATATTATATTTTATAAAATGACAACACAGAAATATCAGTCTATTGTTAACGATAATTTTTGAGTGGAGGGCAGGAGCAATTTGCTGTAGATTTGGAGAATACATTTGGGCCCTCTGGAAGCACCATCCATAGTTGTGCTGCTAACCCAAAGGTTGTGCCTTTCTAACCATTGGAATCCACCAGTTAGTTGCTCCTCAGGAGAAAGATGGACAGTCTCCTCCCATGTGATGAATGTTGTTCTTGTTGTTCTTATGTGCCTTCAAGTCACTTGAGACTTATAGCAACCCTGTGTACAACAGCCCTAAACACTGCTCTGTCCTATGCCAATCGCACTGTCTCAAATACACCCCTCCCAATTACCCCAGTCACTGAATCGATCCATTCATAAAGGGTCTTCCCCTCCTGCGCTGTCCCTCCACCCTACCAAGCATGATGTCCCTCTCCAAGGACTGGTGCCTCCTTACAACATGTCCAAAGTATATCAGACAAAACCTCAGGATCCTTGCCTCCAAGGAGCAGCCCGAATTAACCCTCTCAAGGATGAACCTGTTTGTTTTATTAGCAGTTCATGGCACCCTCAATACTCTTCTCCAGCCCTACAGCTCAAAGGCATCAATTCTCTTCTCTAGTCATTGTCCAACTCTCTGACGCATAACAAGTGATGGCAAAGACTATGGCCTGTATCAGATGCACCTTAGTCTCCAGAGTGACACCATTGCTCTTCAGTACTTTGGAGAGGTCCTTAACAGCAGACTTTCCCATTGCAATACGTCTTTTAATTTCCTGGCTGCTAATGCCCAGAATGTTGACTGTGGAGCCAAGCAAACTAAAGCTATTAACAATCTCAATCTCTTTACCATCCATCATGCTGCTGCCAATTGATCCAGTGGTTAGAATCTTTGTCTTCTTGACATTGAGCCTCAATCCATATTGAAGGCCTCAGTCCTTGACCCTCTGCAGCAAGCGCTTTGGGTTCTCCTCAGTTTCAGGAAGCAGGGTTGTGTCATCTGCATAATATAGATTGTTAATAGATCTTCCACCAATCCTGACGCCACACTTCTCCTCATAGAGCCCAGCCTCCCAGATATCTGTTCTGCATACAGATTGAAAAGTTATGGAGACAGGACACATCCCTGGCATACGCTCTTCCTAATTTTGAACCATGCAGTGTTTCCTTGCTCTGTTCTGATGACAGCCTATTGGTCCAAGTATAGGTTTCTCATTAGCACAATCAAGTGTTCTGGGACTCCCATTCTTCTCAGACTCAGTCATGGTTTGTTATGATCCACACAGTCAAACGCTTTTGCATAGTCAATGAAACACAGATAGACATTCCTCTGGTATTCCCTGCTTTGAGCTAAGATCCATCTAACATCAGCTATAATATCCCTAGTACCACAACCCCTTCTAAACCCAGCCTGGACTTCTGGCAGTTCTCTGCTGATGTGCTGTTCCAGCCGTTTTTGGATAACCTTCAGTAGAATCTTGCTTGCATGTGAAATCAATGATATTTTTCTGTAGTTCCCACACTATGTTGGGCCACCTTTCTTTAGGATGGGAACAAATATAGATCTCTTCCAGTCAGTTGGCCAAGTGGTTGTTCTCCAGATTTCTTGGCACAACTTGGTGAGCATGTCCAGGGCAGCATCTGTTATCTGAAATATGTCAATTGGTATACCATCTATTCCAGGGGCCTTATTTTTTCTTATTTCCATCAAAGCAGCCTGAAATTCTTCTTCCATCACCATAGGTTATTGCTCATATGTTGTTTCATGTGATGAATAGCCTCTGAAAACCTACTGGAGGGTAAGCTATGAGACAATTCTGACTCCACCGCATCGAGGGATGGAGGGGATCTCAGGTAGGAACAATTTTGCCACAGAAATATTTGGCAAAGTCTATAGACATTTTTGACTGTCACCACTGGGAAGAACTACTGACATCTTTAGGTCCAGGCCGTGATTACTCCTAAACGTTCCACAATACATTGGACAGCCTCCCCCCCCC